GATTGGATTTATACCCCGCCCTTCACTACCCAAAGGTGTCTCAGAGCAGCTTACAAACTCCTTTCCCTTCCTCTCCCCACAACAGGCTCCCGGTGAGGCAGGTGGGGCTGAGAAGGAGGAGGAGGAGAGAAGAAGAAGAAGAAGAGATTGGGTTTATATCCCGCTCTTCACTACCCAAAGGTGTCTCAGAGCAGCTTACAAACTCCTTTCCCTTCCTCTCCCCACAACAGGCTCCCGGTGAGGCAGGTGGGGCTGAGAAGGAGGAGGAGGAGAGAAGAAGAAGAAGAAGAGATTGGGTTTATATCCCGCTCTTCACTACCCAAAGGTGTCTCAGAGCGGCTTACAAACTCCTTCCCCTTCCTCTCCCCACAACAGACACCCTGTGAGGTCGGTGGGGCTGAGAGAGCTCTTGACAGAAACGGCTCTTTTTCAAGAACAGCTCTTATCAGAACTACGGCTTGCCCAAGGTCATCCAGCAGCTGCAAGTGGAGGAGTGCGGAATCAAACCCAGTTCTCCCAGATTAGAGTCCCCGCACTTAGCCACGACACCAAACTGTAGTGGTTAATTTGCTATCCCGCCCTCCCAGCCTAGGTTAACTATAACCTTTAAAGAATTTTAAAAAAAACTACAACCTTTAAAAAAATTGTCTTTATGGGACACTAAATGAATAGCAGGCTGAGCAGCTGGAATCTCTAGAAACAGCAGATCAGTAACAGAAGCATTCAAATAAAACACCCCTCTGTGGTGTCGGCCCCTTAAGGAGGTGCTTGTTTTGCTTAATTAATTAATTAATTAATCAATCCAGGACCGGGGGGGGCGCAGAAGAGACCCCCGAGCTGGGTGGATGGAGAATGGGGTGGGGTGGGGGTCGGTTTGCAAAGGAGAGGTCCTAAGATATGGGGGGTGGGGGGGAGGGCAGTTTGGGTGCCGCTGGGTGCGCACGTGGGATTGCACGGCGAGGAATGCATCGTGCTGCGGTCCTGCAAGGCGAAGCCGGCGTGCACCCGCGCTCCTCCCCGCCCCGACACGCGTCCCGGAGAAGGTACCTGCAGGGCGGGCCGGCAGCCTCCCAGGAAGCGCTCCATGGCGTCGGCCGCAAGAGGCGGAGGCGGGCCGGCAGATAAGCCCCGACCCCTTCCTCCCCCGGCGCCGCCTCCTTCCTCCCTCGCTGCGGGCAAGACCCGTGACCGCGCGGCCCTTTCACACGTGACGCGGGCGGACCGGGACAGGAGATGCGTGTCGACTGGGGTGCGGGGGCTGAATCGGGGCTGCGCTCGGCCTCGGCACGTTGGGCAGGGAAGAAGTCGTGGCGTTTTTTAAAATGCTCCCGTCCAGAGGTGGATGTGGCCTCAGACAGTGTAGGGTTGCCAGTCTCCAGGTGGCGGCTGGAGATCTCCCGTGAACTATACTGGGTTCAGACTTGAGATGTGAAGGCCTGGGGGGAAACCCGGAAAAATTCGTGGGGACACCGTTTTTCACCCCCTTTTCCCCCTGAAGCCTTTTTTGTTTCCCCCCCCCCCCGAAAATTTGGAAAAATTGGAAAAAAGTGGCCCCACTGCTGGACCTCCTGATGGCTCCTGGTATTTCTGGCCACTGTGTGACACAGAGTGTTGGACTGGAGGGGCCATTGGCCTGATCCAACATTGTTCTGATGCGCTTAAAAGAAAAAAAATTGATTATGGAACACTTTATTTTAACACGATGAATACAATATTTTAAGACAAGGTGTTAAAATATGTTCCAAATCATTTCTAAAAAAATACGCATGGTATCAGATTGATCTGATTTCTGTGCACTGAGGACAAGCAAGTCCTAGGTTACCAACGGAACTCTCCAATGCAAGAACAAGATGCATTTCTTCCTTTAGGAGGTGCTGTTGTCACAAGAAAAGAAAAAGGTTTCAGTTTTTTTTTTGCATAAGAACATAAGAGACGCCAATGTTGGATCAGGCCAGTGGCCCATCCAGCCCAACACTCTGTGTCACACAGTGGCCAGAAATACCAATGCCATCAGGAGGTCCACCAGTGGGGCCAGGACATTAGAAGCATGTGGGTGAGTATTCTGTTTGTAATCATTGCTTGGATGCACTACGTTTTTAATAGGCTAGTTGTGATAATTTCACGCCAAGTAAAAATGTCCATAGTCATATTTTATGTTCCTAAAGTGACAGAATGACTTTCAATCTGGAAAAGAAAAAAGAAGTGCTAATGTAGCGTTTTTTTTCAATTTTTCCAAAAATTTCCCCAAAAGACCCTGGGCGGTTTTCTGAGCTTCAAAATCCCTGGAAATTTTACATCTCTAGTTCAGACGCATTCAAGTGATCAGCTCATAGTTTAATAGCGATTCAGCAAGAGAAAGAAGACTGAGAAAACCCTGGCCGAAGCCGGGTATTTCTGCCTGAAAAGGCACCCAAAACACACCCCACTCCCAACCATAGGCTATTTACACTCTGTTGTTTCCCAATTGGTTGACTCTAGGATCCCTGTCTCCCTACTGGTCCATTCTAGGATCCTAGCGAGCTATTGTTATGCATCCCCAAGCTCAGTCCTTTTGCAAGGACTGTTCAGGCTCAATACAGCTGGTCTCCAGGTTTCAGAGAAAATGGCTGCTTTGGAAGGTGGGCCTTTACGGCATTAGGCCCCATTGAAGCCCCTCCCCTCCTAGGGTTGCCAGGTCTAGGTTGGGGAATTCCTGGGGATTTTGGGGGTGGATCCGGGAGAGGGCGGGGTTTGGGGAGGGGAGGGAGCCGCAGCATGCTGCAATGCCATAGCGCCCACACTCCAAAGCAGCCATTCTCTCCGGGGCAGCTGATCTCTGTAAAAACGGGAGATCTCCAGGTCTCCCCTGGAGGCTGGCAACCCTGTCCCCTCCCCATACCTCGCCCTCCCCAGATCCACCCCCCAATCTCCAGGAATTTCCCAAGCGAGAGCTGGCAACCCTGTGAGGGAGTTATCCGAGTGCTTAAAAGAAGAACAAAATCTGTGAAAGGACTTTTTTTTTTTTAGGATCGAGCAAAAGGACAGAACTTATTGTCTTTTTAATTTTTGCATTAAAAAAATTGCCTGTCGACTTTTTTCTTTTTTTAAGCAACACCCAGAAAGCGGTCCTGCCTAAAGACTATTTTTAAAAGCTAGATGTGCCTCAACAGTAAGTCTTATTCACGTCATTTATATTTGTTTATTATTCTCTATTTACTTCATTTGTATGTATTTATTAGCCCAAGGTGGCTTGCATAATCCACCCAACAACCCTGTGAGGTAGGGTAGGCTGAGGGCGTGATTGGCCCAAAGACACCCAGTGAGCTTCCTTGGCAGAGGTGGTGATTCGAACCCAGCTCTGCCAGATCCTCGTCTGACACGCTAACCACTACACAACACTGGCAACTCAAGACAACAGCCGCTCAAGAGTTGCCTGGGGAAAAGGGGTCAAGTTCCCAAACCTCCAGGTCTGGCCTGGAGATCTCTTGGAATTACAACTGATTTCTGGACAACAGAGATCAGTTCCCCCAGGAGAAAATGGCTGCTTGGGAGGGTGGGATCTATATGGTGTTGTATCCTGCTGAGGCCCCTCCCTTTCCCAAATACCACCCTCTCCCGGCTCCACCCCCAAAGCGGGAGGGCGGGAGTTGTCCGAGTGCTTAAAAGAAGAACAAAATCTGTGAAAGGACTTTTTGGGGATCGAGCAAAATGACAGAACTCTTCATCTTATCAGTAAAAAAGCCCCAGTAGGACCTTTAAGACTAACAAACTTTATTGTAGTGTCAGCTTTCGAGAAACCCAGCTCTCTTTGTCCTACAACATACCCGAAAGATGGCCGTCCAGCTTCCCCTTGAAAACGTCCAGCGAAGGAGCATCCGCCACCTCCCGAGGCAGTCTGTCCCACTGCTCAACCACTCTTTCAGTTAGGAAGTTTCTCCTGATATTTAGCCGGTAACGACTCCCTTGCAGGGTCATTTCCTGCAGGAGCGCACAGGAGCGGAGCTCCGGCAGTAAAGAGCCCAGGGGGCGGGGCACATGCAACAGGCCCCGCCCCCTGCTCCCAGCAGCCCTCAATCAGAGCAAGAAGCAGCCAGGTAAGTTGCAGAGCTCCCCCCACCCCACCCCCCTCCCATCCCCCCCCCCCCCCAATAGCTAGCAATCCAAAACAGTCCAGTGGAGCCTGAGCGGTGGGTGTTGCCTTCTGACACACTACCGGTGAGGTCAGGGGGTGTGGCCTATGCAAATAAGCTATGCTAATGAGTTATGCTAATGAGCCCCTGCATCTCTTCTCCTACGAAATGACCCCTGCCCCCTTGTAATTTCCACCCATGAGATCTGGTCTTGCAATCTGGAGCAAGAGAGAAGAGATCCGCTCCATCTTCTACACGACAGCCCTTCAAATACTTGAAGACTGCAATCGTGTCCCCTCTAAGCCTTCTCTTTCCCAGGCTAAACAGACCTAACTCTTTCAGCCTTTCCTCCTAAGACTTGGATTCCAACCCTCTCGCCATCCCAGTTGCCCTCTTCTGGAGACGCTCTCGGTCACAGTCTCCCAGGCTAACCCACCTCATAGGGTTGTTGTGAGCGTAAAAGAGCCGAGGAGAGTGATCAGAGCTGCTTTGGGTTCCCCTTGGAAATGAAGGTAGAATAGAAATGAAGTAAATTAAAAATCAAACGGGAGCAGAGAAACACACGAGACCTAGCCGCACATGTAATCCTGGGAATCGTCGAACTTTTGGGGCTAACAGTGTCATCCGAAACAGGTCTGCTCAGGTTCCTACACAAGTCTGCTTAGTGGAGCCTACCCCCGGGAAAAGCGTTCTCAGTACTGCAGAAGAGCAAACCAAAGCCCGGCCGGCACCCACCCGATCTTCCTGTGCCCCTTTAAGACAACCGGCGTCTGCTCTCCTAAAGGGCCGGCGTTGTAGATTCTAGAACACCAAAGGCTTTCGAATGACAACAAACTGTAGCCTCAGCTTTTCCCGGGGCGGAGAGCCTTTCGAGGCTGCGGAAGAAAAGCCACTAGGTAGCGCATTTTAAATGGCTCTGGCCCCGAGCCACGGTTCGCTGACTTCCGAAGTGTTTTTCCCCCTCCTTTTCCTCAAAATGTCTTTTAAGGTTTCGTATGGGACTCCGGTCACAAACAAAGCTGTTCTATTTTGCACAATCCTGTCGGGAAACAGATCCCTAGGTCTGGGGCCTTAACAAGCGCTCCCCTCCCACAACCTTCCTGTCTGCTTTTGAGCCTCGGATAAGATTTGAGATGAATGTATACTGCTTGTCAGTTCGGGGAGGGCGGGGTAAAAGGGAAATAAATAAAATAAAAATAAAATAAATCTGCTCACCGGTTTTTCGGCCTACGGCTAAACTGGAGCCTAGCAGGAATCAGAAGGAAAAGTTTTTATTTTTATTTCCCCCCGCTGCCAGGGCTCTTGGTCCTCTAACGACACTGTGGTGGGCAGATGTCCAACCGATAAAGCTTTATCTCTTGGAGCGCATAACCCGCTGAGTTTTGTGCAGTGGTTAAAGGGGGGAGAGGAGGCAGCCAACCACCTGCAATTCCAGAACTGGGTTGTTAAAAGTAAGTGAAACAATTAAGATAAAAGGTAAAGGTTTCCTTTGCTTAAAAGCCAGTCGAATCCGACCCTAGGGATGTGGTGCTCATCTCCATTTCCAAGCCGAAGAGCCAGCGCTGTCCCAAGACGTCTCCATGGCCATGTGGCCAGCATGACTAAACGCCGAGGCGCACGGAACGCTGTTACCTTCCCACCAAAGCGGTACCTATTTACCTACTTGCAATTTCTTGCTTTCGAACTTCTAGGTGGGCAGGAGCTGGGGCCAGAGACAGGAGCTCACTCCGTCATGCGGCACTCGGGTCTCAAACTGCCGAACTACAGACCTTCCGGTCTGCAGCTCAGCGTCTTAACCTCTGAGTCACCACGGCCCCTTGCAAAATGAAACAATTAGAGTCTCCCAAAAGCCTAAAAGTACAGATGGGAGGCTTCCCGCTGTGTCTCTGTGCGATACCGTGCACGCCTCCTTCCAATCCTACTCTGCTGGCAGTCGGTAACTGTCCCAAACCTCTGTCTCTAGACCTACTGTACAGAATGTACCCACCACTCGGAGGAGGCTGCCCGCTGCATCTCTGAATGAGCTGTTTCTACGGCCTCCCGTTCTTCCAGTTGGCCTCTACTGGAGTTGAGTAATATGGCCATGTTTCCTCCCATCGTGCGTAACTGCCAGATCGATTGCTCCTGCCCCAGAGACACAACAGAAGCCTCGAAATGAGGTGGCTTTCCGAGTCTCTTTATGACTCACTGCTTGACGGACAGCCAAAACAGGAACACAAGGGGTGGCCTCTTCCGTGGGAGGGTAAAATTGGGGTGTAAGCAGTGTTCCCTCTAAACTGAGCTGGTGTGAGTTAGCTCACAGTTCTTTAGCCTCCGGCTCACACATTTTTGTGTGGAGGGCTCCGGAGCAAACTAGTGTATGCAGTAGCCAAATCGCTCGCTCACAACTCTAAGGCCATTGGCTCACCAAGTAGAATTATTGCTCGCAGGACTCCACAGCTTAGAGGGAGCATTGGATGTAAGACCAAAGAATTCCCTTTTTTCATTCTCCACCGTCTCGGATGCAGGCCCCAGTCTTATTTCTCTCCTCCTGGGATCCGGGCGATAGATTTCTCTCCTTCCAGGATCCGAGCTCTCTGGCCAGGCAGGATTCCTGCCTGTCGTAAATCCTCCGCCCCAATAGATGTCCCTGTGGAAAGGCGGAGGGAAAATAACAAACCACAGGCTTACGAGAAGTGTTTTTCCTTTCTCCGCCAGCTGGAGAGCCTCTCGTCTGCTCATTTGCTCAGCGAGGAAAAGGAGGAAGGGAAGGGAAGGGAAGGCAGGAAGAAACGAAAGAAGAAAAAACTTGCCAACAACGACTCCAAGGGAGGCTGCGTCGGACGGGGCGAAGACGGCAGGAGAAAGAGGTGCGTGCAGATTCTCTGGTCTGAAGTTGTCGCCCTGCATCGGGCTGGGGGCGTCAGCGGTGGGGCGTTTACACTGGGAGCAGGAGAGGGAGTCAGCCAGGTGCCTCCCCGTACTCCAGCCGGAGCCTCGCTCTTGCTACAAAGCAAAGCTCTCCGTTGCTCTAGAGTTGCCAACTCCAGGGTGAGAAATCCCTGGAGATAACAGGGGTGGAGCCAGGATTTGGAGTCGGGAGCAGCGCTCCCTCTAAGCTGTGGAGTCTCGGGAGCCAAAAATCCTACTTTGTGAGCTGCTGGCCTTAGAGTTGCCAGCGAGCGATTTGGCTACTGCAGAAATTAGTCTGCTCTGGAACTCGCAGTGTTCCCTCTAAGCTGAGTTAGTGCGAGCCAGCTCACAGTTTTTTAGCCTCTGGCTCACACATTTTTTTGTCTTCGCTCAGGAAGGAGGGCTCCAGAGCGAGCTAATTGATGCAGCAGCCCAATCGCTTGCTCACAACTTCAAACTCAAACTCAAATACCTTTTATTGGCATACAATATTAGAAGCATTGCTCACAACTTTCATGCCAGTAGCTCACAGACTTTTTGCTTCCAAGACTCCACAGCTTAGAGGGAGCATTGCTCTGGAGCCACCCCTTCCTGAGCGAAGACAAAAATGCGTGAGCCGGAGGCTAAAAAACTGTGAGCTAGATCACACTGACTCAGCTTAGAGGGAACACTGGTCGGGAGGGACCCCGGCGACGACTAACGACGCCGAGCCCACTCTCCAAAGTTGCTGTTTCCTCCTGGGGGAACTGATCTCAGTAGTCTGGAGACCAGTCGTCATTCCGGAAGCGTTCCAGGCCTCGCCTGGAGGTCGGCAACCCGACTCGACCTTTCCGTTTCCTGTTCTTTTGGCTCCCAAACGCTCACTTTTGTGGTCAGGGACCTCTCTCCTCCTTCGCCTCTGACCAGGTTGCCAAACTCTTTTGGGCGAGTGCCGTTTCACCTCTTGAGTCGCGGCCAAACCACAGGCACGCGTGTCCCTTGCACGGGAAGGGGAACGAAATAAAATGTGTTCCCTTGCAAAACAAGTGTATCCAGACTGGCCTCTTGGGCAAAAGCTATTTAAAAGCTCTTCTGTTGACTCCTCTGGAGAGGAAAGTCCGGATGGGATCACACCCGACTGCCAATTTCCTTCTGTTGCGTGACCCGCATCCGCATTTAAATAAAATCAGAAGGGGGGGTGAGAACACATGTGCAGGTGAACCTCAGATATTAATCTGGGCCTTTGCTTTTTAAGAACTGGAGTCCTGTGTCCAGTTTGGGGCACCACATTTTAGGAAGGATGTTGACAAGCTTGAATGCGTCCAAAGGAGGGCAACCGGGATGGTGAGAGGGTTGGAATTCAAGTCTTATGAGGAAAGGCTGAAAGCGTTGGGTCTGTTTCGCCTGGGAAAGAGAAGGCTTAGAGGGGACAGGATTGCAGTCTTCAAGTATTTGAAGGCCCGTCATGTAGAAGATGGAGCAGATCTGTTCTCTCTTGCTCCGGATTGCAAGACTAGATCGAATGGGTGGAAATCACAAGGGAGTCGATACCGGCTCAATATCAGGAGAAACTTACTAACTGTCAGAGTGGTTGAGCAGTGGAACAGTCTGCCTCGGGAGGTGGTAGATGCTCCTTCGCTGGACGTTTTAAAGCGGAGGCTGGACGACCATCTTTCGGGTATGCTGTAGGTATTTAGGGCTATCTTTTGGCTCTGCTCCTGCAGAGTGCAGGGGGTTGGACTAGATGACCTGCAAGGTCCCTTCCAACTCTAACATTCTATGATTCTATGAAGATTAGACCCATTCGTGAAGGAGCACGAGTTTGTTCTCTACAGGGCTAAGAATAGCCAGGAATTAGAGTGTCGGCGCTGGGAAACATCATGCTGGAAGAGACCCCAGAGAGTCATCTAGTCCAACCCGCTGCACAGACTACAGCAAAAAAAAAATGCCTCTCCCAAGTACTCGAACGCGAGGGCGTCCAGTGAAGCGGATGGGCAGTAGGTTCGGGAGGGACAACAGGAAACACCACTTTACACCGAGAGGGATTCAAATGTGGGATTCGCTGCCAGAGGATGGGGGTGAAGGCCACAGGAATGAACAGCTTGAAGAGGGGATTTGACAGATTCATGGAGCATAAGTCTGTCAGTGGCTACTAGCCATGGTGGCTGGGGGGAACCTCCACATCCAGAGGCAGTCAACCTCTGAATCACAGAACCAGGAGGCAACATCAGGGAAAGGCCTTGGCCTCTCTGCCCCAGCAGGGCTCTTCTGATGTTCTCCTCAGGGGAAGGCCTCGGCCTCTCTGCCCTGTTGTTGGCCCTCCAGAGGACCTAGTTGGCCACTGTGTGAGGCAGGAGGCTGGACTAGATGGACCCTCACTGGTCTGACCCAGCAGGGCTCTCCTGAGGTTCTCATCAGGGGAAGGCCTCGGCCTCTCTGCCCTGTTGTTGGCCCTCCAGAGGAACTGGTTGGCCACTGTGTGAGACAGGAGGCTGGACTAGATGGACCCTCCCTGGTCTGACCCAGCAGGGCTCTTCTGATGTTCCTATCAGGGAAGGCCTCGACCTCTCTGCCCTGTTGTTGGCCCTGCAGAGGAACTGGTTGGCCACGGTGTGAGGCAGGAGGCTGGACTAGATGGACCCTCACTGGTCTGACCCAGCAGGGCTCTTCTGGTATTCTTCTCAGGGGAAGGCCTCGGCTTCTCTGCCCTGTTCTTGGCCCTCCAGAGGAAGTGGTTGGCCACTGGGTGACACAGGAGGCTGGACTAGACAGACCACTGAAACGGGGACTCGGTTGAACAGGGAGACTGGGGACCTGGAGGAGAGGTGTTCCCAATCTCCAGGTGGGGCCTGGAGATCTCCGGAATCACAACTGACCCCCAGACTACAGGGATCGGTTCCCCTGGAGATAGTGGCTGCTTTGGAGGATGGACGCTATGGCGTTATACCCCACCGAAGACCCTGACCTACCACGCTCCACCCCCACATCTCCAGGAATTTCCTAACCTGGTGTTGGCAGACCTATAGGAGCCTATAAGAGCCAGTTTAGTGTCGCGGTTAGGAGCACGGACTCTAATCTGGGAGAACTGGGTTTGATTCCGCCAGGGGTTATTTCCTGCAGGAGCGCACAGGAGCGGAGCTCCGGCAGTAAAGAGCCCAGAGGGCGGGCACATGCAGCAAGCCCCGCCCCCTGCTCCCAGCAGCCCTCAGTCAGAGCAAGAAGCAGCCAGGTAAGTTGCAGAGCCCCCCCCCCAGCCCCAAACAATCCAGTGGCACCTTTAAGACCAAGTTTTATTCAGGTACAAGCTCTCCCTCCTCTGAGAGTGCAGATCTGCACATTCCCCTGCCCCCAACAGCTAGCAATCCAAAACAGTCCAGTGGAGCCTGAGGGGTGGGTATTGCCTTCTGACACACTTCCGGTGATGTCAGGGTGTGTGTGGCATATGCAAATAAGTTATGCTAATGAGTTACGCTAATGAGCTCCTGCACCTCTTTTTCTACGAAATGACCCCTGGATTCCGCACTCCTCCACATGCAGCTGCCGGTGTGACCTTGGGTCAGTCACAAGTTCTCTCAGAGCTGTTCTGTCACGAGCAGTCCTCGAAAGAGCTCTCTCAGCCCCGCCTCCCTCACAGGAAAACGTCAGGTCCTACAGTGTCAAGGCCACGGCCAGACAGCCCGGGAAATCTACAACAAGTAACAAATAAATAATACATTAATTAACAGGCATCTCCCATTCCAGCCCGATTTGCCCCCAAATACAGATTCCAGCCACTGCTTCAGGTTGGGACAAACACTGGAGCGCAGGTCTTACTCAAAGGACTTACTGGGCAGCTTTGGGCGGGGCCGTGGCTCAGCGGCTAGAGCATCTGCTTGGCATGCAGACAGTCCCGGGTTCAAATCCTGGCATCTCCGGATGAGGCCGTACGTGGTGTGAAAGTTGAGACCCCGGAGAGCCGCTGCCGGTCTGAATAGACAACCGTGACCAAGGGTCCGATTCAGTAGAAGGCAGCTTGCTGTGTTCGTATCCGGGGCAGTGAGCCCTTTTTAACAGGATTTGGAATTGCACAGCGGTCGTTTCAGCACAGAGCGCGTGATGCTACAGCACACCTTTGCATTTTCCTTGAGTGCGCCCGCATACGCTTTGTTGCTTAGAGCTGCAGAACGCTGCCAGCACTGGCCATTTGTCAGCTTTCGTGCCTGCAGTTTTTTAAAGTGCACAGAAGTTCTTTCAGGACAGCGCATTTGCCCTTGGAACGCCCACATTTTGTATCTGGCTGCATATTTAAAAGAGAGAAGACGAGATTGGATTTATACCCCGTCCTTCACCAGTGCTCCCTCTAAGCGGTGGAGTCTTGTGAGCAAAAATTCTACTTTGTGAGCTACCGGCATTAAAGTTGTGAGCGAGCGATTTGGCTGCTGCATCAATTAGTTTGCTCTGGAGCCATCCCTTCCTGAGCTAAGACAAAAATGTGTGAGCCAGGGGGCTAAAAAATTGTGAGCTGGCTAGCTCACACTAACTCAGCTTAGAGGGAACACTGCCCTTCACTACCCGAAGGCATCTCAGAGCGGCTTACAAACTCCTTTCCCTTCCTCTCCTCACAACAGACACCCGGCATGAGGTAGGTGGGGCTGAGAGAGCTCTCTCTCGAGGACTGCTCTTTCCAGAACAGCTCTGAGAAAACTTGTGACTGACCCAAGGTCACCCAGCAGCTGCATGCGGAAGAATGGGGAATCAAACCCGGTTCTCCCAGTTTAGAGTCCGGGCTCTTAACCACTACACCAAACTGGCATGTTTTTAAAAATATTTTAAAATGCAATGCAGCAGAGAAGTTTTTTTCTAAAAAAACCCAACACCATGGACTGAAGTGGAAGGAGGTCAGTATGGCATCCCAGCCAATCAGAAAGCTGGGCTGGCAAAGTTAGTTAAGTTTTGGAAAACCATAAAGCAACTAATTGCGGAAATAGTGGGAATAGATCTGGCGTTAGACCCAGAAATATTTTTGTTAAATATGTTACCAGAAGGGATAAAGTATAACGATACATGTTTGATTCTATATATCCTTACTATGTCCAGAATACTTATAGCTAAATGTTGGAAATCAGATATAATTCCAAGAAGAGAAGAATTATAAAGATTATGGAAATAAAAGAAATGTATAAAGTAAATACGATTTTGTCGGGAAAGGATGAAAATGTGTTTTAAAAAAGATGGCAGATAGTAGACAGTTGGTTTGGAAAAAATATGTAAAGGAAACTCCAAATTATGGTGTATATGAGTATACTTTTATGTGATTTTTGTTATGGAAAATAGTTAAATAAACTATGGGGGAAAAAAGAAAGCTGGGCTGGCGTGAGCCAGTCAGGGCCGGGGATGCCCAAGGTGGGTGGAGTTAACCTTTGGCTTGGCTTTTAAGCCTCTCGGCCTCAGGAACCACGCTGGATACTAGGGAATGAAACCTTGCCCCACAAGATAGCATGAGATAAATCAGTAGGGTTGCCAATCCCCTGGTTTGGAGTCCCTCCCCCGCTTCAGGGCTGTCAGAAAGTGGGGGGTGGCCACTGGGCAAGGGTGTAGACTTTCCAATTTCCCGGGGGGGGCTGGGGCTGGGCCAGAGGCATTGCTTTGCTAGGAGCAAGGGTGGCTCCCGGGGGAGGCTGAGCAGCTTCCTGAAAATTTCGGCGGGGGCTGAAGCCCCGCCGCCCCCACGAAGATTACGCCTATGCCACTGGGCACTCCATTATACCCTATGGAGACTGGTCCCCATAGGATATAATGGAGAACCAGTCCATGGGTATCTGGGGCTCGGGGGGGGCTGTTTTTTTAGGTAGAGGCACCAAATCTTCAGCATAGCTGATGGTGCCTCTCCTGAAAAGAAACCCCAAGTTTCAAAAAGAGTGGACCAAGGTGTCCAATTCCATGAGCCCCAAAAGAAGGTGCCCCCATTCTCCATTATCTCCAATGGAGGGAAAGCTTTTTGAAGGAATGCTTTTGAAGGGAAGGCTTCAATGGGATGGCCAAATCTCCCTTCTGGCTTGTGGGCCTCACCTGGCAACCCTAGTGACGTCACAAAACTGATGCCACAGCCTTGCTCCTGGCTCCACCCCCAAAGTCTCCTGGCTCCACCCCCAAAGTCCCCAGGTGATTTCCTGGGTCAGACCAGGCAACCCTAATCATGACACAAAATGGCTACTGCAAAATGGCCACCACAGGAAGAGGAGCCAGCCAGAAAATGGCTGCCGCAAGTTTTCAGTCACAAAGCGAAGACCGTTGTGCTGTGGTGGCAGCTGCTGCCAAAGCAGTGTTTTTTAAAAAAATCTGCACAGCCAATCAAATCTACAGTGGCCAATCAGAAGGCTTGCTGGGCAAAAGTTCTACCTGGCTCCACCCACTTCGTAAAAACACTTGGCGGGCACCGTGGTGCCCACGGGCACAGTGTTGGAGACCCCTGCTTCCTCCCTTCCTCCCTTCCTCCCTTCCTCCCTTCCTCCCTTCCTTTCTTTCTCACATTTATACCCCACCCTCCCCAATGGACTCAGGGTGGCTAACAAGGGCAAGGTAAACCATGCCATAATTAAAACATAATATACATAGGAACTTAAAACATATAATCCATTAAAACATCCAATACTTAAAAACAGCGGTGCTCAAACTTCTGATATCATAGGTCCAAAGATGTCATCGATACATTTCCAGGGGGTACTTCCAATGCTGTTTGCGCCCACAGGAGAATGGCTTAGATCTTCTTTGCCATATCCAGGTGCTTCCTCAGGGCCTCGTCAACCATGACGGTGATGGTATAGTAGGGGCAGCGGCTCCTACTCAAAGGCCTGGCGGAAGAGCTCCGTCTTGCAGGCCTTGCGGAACTGCATAAGGTCCCACAGGGCCCGGCTCTCCCCCGGGAGCTCATTCCACCAGGTAGGAGCCTCCACCGAAAAAGCCCTGGCCCTGGTCGCAGCTAGTTTGGTGTCCTTGGGGCCCGGGATGACCAACAAATTTTGGGCCCCCGACCGTAGCGCTCTTGGGGAAATGTATGGGGAAAGGTGGTCCCTCAGGTAGGCTTTAGTGAGTCCCTGGGAAATATTGATAGTATTTTGCCTGCTGAAGATGAGTCAGGCGTGTCAGCAGGGCAGGTGGGAGAATACAAGTTGGTCTCGTTGTGATTTTGCCTCTCTTGTCTTTTGCCAGGTTCCGTCCTCCGTTGGGTTTAAAGCCCCAACTGGACCAGCACTTAGCAAGTGGTCTCCGTCCTGCCAGAACTCAGTTCTGAGTGCGAAAGCCGGGACTCTGGAATGCACCGTAAAGGGTGAAAAAAAACCCAAATCAGACAAAAACGAGGTAGGAGTGGGTTCTGTGCTGTCTGCATGACCCTCAAGTACAAGAAGAATCAGGTGGACGGTCGACTGGGCAGATTCAAACCAACGGATTGGAACAGATTTACTCCGAACAACCTTTGCCGTTTTTCTTTATTTTGCTCCGAGCTTTCTTTTTTTTTAAACAACCTCTGCACGGCAAATTCTTTGCGTTTTTAATCTTTTTAAATCATTTTATGAAAATAATCTTTTGTCCCCTTTTATTTCAAATGTAGGGGTTGTTTTTTTTAAAAAAAAATCTTTTCTATTACTTTTTCTACAAAAAGGAAACATTTCTTTTTTGCGTTTGAGAAAATAAGAGGTGATCTTGAGCTATAATTATCCAACACATACACACACACAAGGAGACAAGAAGAGATTGTATTTCCTGGTTGTTAAATAATTGAATTTGAAGTAAAAAAAGAAGAGGAGACAGCAGAATTGATTGGTACGTGAGACGCACGAGAGCCGGCGAGTGGAAAGAAAGGGACATTTTACAATAATAAACTTTTTAAACGTAATAACGTCAGCAGTGCCTAACCAAAAAAACAACAACACACACATGCAACAACCACAACCAGTGAACCGAGTTTTAATAAAGTCTCATATTATGTACTTATTATAAGTATTAAGATAGGAAGAGGACATCCGGAAAACTGCAGCTAAATTAATAGGAATCTAATTTGGTTTAATACATTCTGTAGAACAATCATTGTTTATAACCTAAGTGACTGGAGGCCTTTGTTTGCAGCCGACGTTGTCCTTTATCGACCCCGGGGACGGTTGTTTGTTGGACAGGAACGCCGGAGTCCATTTTCCTCCAAGTGGCAGAATCGGAAGCGAGATCGAAATTCCAGCTACAGTAACAACAACTACCACCACCCTTAAAAAAGCATAAGGTTTTTGCCGGTTCTTCTTGCCAGTTAAGAGAGTCGGCCCCAGAGAATCTCGTGGTGAATGACTGGGGGACTGTAAAGGACACTGTAGAACGGGGAGTCCCAAATGGAACCCGTAAAGTCAGCAGAGGCCAAAGGGGAAGGAGAGAATGAAAGCACCGCACCTGAAACCAAGGCCCCCCAAGTGCAAGAAAAAGAGGACACTGGTTTCGGGCAAGAGGAGGAGGTGACCGTGAGAGAGGTCCCTGCATTGAACGGGCAGGAGCAAGAGGCAGACGTAGGCCTGACCTGTGCGGTGCCCCCCACTCCCGATGTCAAAGAGGGGGCAGATGAGGGCGAGGCCCCGCACCCAGTGTCCACAAAGCTGGAGGAGGCAAGCCCCCCCAAAGAAGAAGTGGCAAACCCCCCAAGTGAGGAAGAGATACTGAGAGAGGATATCCCGTCAGAGAGTGTTACCACTCTGCCGGGAACCGCCGTTCCCAGCCCAGAGGTCGCCGGCCCTAGCTGCAGCACTGCCACCCCCGAGCCGGCCACGGAGGCCCCCAGATCACGGCCTTCCCCGAGCAATCAACCCGAGCCCCCCGACTTCTACTGCGTGAAGTGGATCAACTGGAAAGGGGAGCGGACGCCCATCATCACCCAGAGCGAGAACGGGCCGTGCCCACTCCTGGCGATCATGAATATCCTTTTTTTGCAGTGGAAGGTAAGGGGGGGGAGGCATAATGGAACTTCTGTAGGGGGGGGGGGCTGGAAGATAGGCTCCGGCTGCCTGTAGCCGTCGTGGGAACCGGCAGCGACTATTTTATTTATTTATTTATCGTATTTGTATCCCGCCCATCCTGCTAGCGGGCTCAGGGCGGGTCACATCGTCTCAAATAATACAGTAAGGTTTAAAACACAATAAAACATTACATTACAAACATTCAGGGCTCTTTTTGTAGAAAAAGCCCAGCAGGAACTCATTAGCACAATAGGCCACACCCAACAGCAGAAACTCATTAGCATATTAGGCCACACCCCTGATAGCACAGCTCATTGGCATATTAGGCCACACACACCCATGTTACCAGAAGTGTGCTCATCCAGCCACACCCACCTTTTGCTTCTTATTCTGTTTACCTTGTTGTCAAAACCCAGAGGGGTTTTTTTGTAGCAGGAACTCCTTTGCCTGTTAGGCCACACCCCCCCTAATGTAGCCAATCCTAATGAGTTCCTGCTGTTGGGTGTGGCCTGTTATGCTAATGAGTTCCTGCTGGGCGTGGCCAACTCGGGAGCCAGCCGGAACTCCGTTCCTGTGCGTTCCTGCCCCAAAATAGCCCTGCAAACATTTAAAATCATTAGTTATAGCTGCTGGTGAGAATTCCGACCCATTCGTACTGATGGGCATGGCCAGTTGCTGGCAGATCGGTGGCCCGTAGGTAGGAGACCGCAACCTCAGGGGGGGGGGAGGGGAGGCCATCTGTGGACGCCCGCTGCCTCAGCCAAAAGCCTTAGAAGCCAAAAAGGAGAGATCACGGGAGGAAGTGGAATTCCAAAAACAACATCCGTGACAAAAATAACGAGGAGTCAATAAAGGTAAGTTGCAAAAATGTTTACTGTGGTCGTTTCTGTAGAACATTTTCTGCTCACATAGCGCTAACGAATACGGCGCCATGAACAATTCGCAGAACCTTGGGTTCTGTTATCAGAGAGTCAACATGGAATGTTTCCTTCAGGAGCGGATAAGTGGTGATTGATAAAAATTGGGATTGCTCAGATAAAGAAGAAGAAGAAGAGATTGAATTTATACCCCACCCTTCACTACCCAAAGGTGTCTCAGAGTGGCTTACAAACTCCTTTCCCTTCCCCTCCCCACAACAGACGCCCTGTGAGGTAGGTGAGGCTAAGAAGGAGAAGAAGAAGGAGGAGAAGACAAGAAGAAGAAGAAGAAGAAGAAAAGATTGGATTTATACCCCGCCCTTCACTACCCAAAGGTGTCTCAGAGCGGCTTACAAACTCTTTTCCCTTCCCCTCCCCACAACAGACGCCCTGTGAGGTAGGTGGGGCGGAGAGAGCTCTTGACAGAAACGGCTCTTTTTCAAGAACAGCTCTGACAGAACTTGTGACTGACCCAAGGTCACACCAGCAGCTGCATGTGGAGGCGTGGGGAATCCAACCCGGTTCTCCCAGATTAGAGTCCCCGCACTTAACCACTACGCCAAACTGGCTAAAGAACATAAGAACATAAGAACATAAGAGACGCCAATGTTGGATCAGGCCAAAGGCCCATCCAGTCCAACACTCTGTGTCACACAGGGGCCAGAAATACCAGTGCCATCAGGAGGTCCAGCAGTGGGGCCAGGACATTAGAAGCCCTCCCACTGTTGACCCCCCCCCAAGCACCAAGAAGACAGAGCATCACTTGCCCCAGAGCCCCTAGCTATACCTTGTGGCTAATAGCCACTGATGGACCTCTGCTCCATATGCTTATCTAATTCCCTTTTGAAGCCGTCCATGCTTGTAGCACCCACCACTTCCTGTGGCAGTGAATTCCATGTGTTAATCACTCTTTGGGTGAAGAAGTACTTCCTTTTATCCGTTCTAACCCGACCGCTCTGCAGTTTCATGGAGTGCCCACGAGTTCTTGTATTGTGAGAAAGGGAGAAAAGTACCTCTTTCTTTACCTGCTCTTTCCCATGCATAATCTTATAAACCTCGATCATGTCACCCCTCAGTCGTCTTTTCTCCAAGCTAAAGAGCCCTAAGCGCTTTAACCTTTCCTCATAGGGAAAGTGTTCCAACCCTTTTATCATTCGAGTTGCCCTTTTCTGCACTTTTTCCAAAGCTATAATATCCTTTTTAAGGTGTGGTGCCCAGAACTGCACACAGTATTCCAAATGAGGTCTCACCATTGATTTATATAGGGGCATTATTATATTGGCTGATCTGTTTTCAATACCCTTCCTAATAATCCCCAGCATAGCATTGGCCTTCTTTATTGCAGTCACACACTGTCTCGACATTTTCAGTGAGTTATCCACTACAACTCCAAGATCTCTCTCTTGCTCAGTCTCTGCCAGTTCAGACCCCATCAATGTGTATTTATATTTAGGATTTTTGGCTCCAATGTGCATCACCTTGCACTTGGCCACATTGAACCCCATTTGCCATGTTGACGCCCACTCGCCCATCCTTGACAGATCCCCTTGGAGTGCCTCACAATCCTCACTGGTTTTCACCACCCTGAACAACTTTGTATCATCCGCAAATTTAGCCACTTCACTGCTTACTCCCATCTCCAAATCATTAATGAACAAGTTAAAAAGCAGTGGACCAAGTACTGATCCCTGCGGTACCCCACTGCTTACCACCCTCCACTGAGAAAATTGCCCACCTACACTCACTCTCTGTTTTCTATGAACTAGCCAGTTTTTGATCCATAAAAGGACTTGTCCTTCTATCCCATGATTTTTGAGCTTACTTAGGAGCCTTTGATGAGGAACTTTATCAAAAGCTTTCTGGAAGTCAAGGTAAATAATATCTATTGGATCCCCCTTGTCCACATGTTTGTTCACCCCCTCAAAGAACACTAACAGGTTAGTGAGACAAGATCTTCCCTTACAGAAACCGTGCTGAGTCTGCCTCAATAGGTTTTGTTCATCTATGTGCCTACTAATTCTTTCCTTAATAATGGTTTCCACCAATTTACCCGGTATCGACGTCAGACTGACTGGCCTGTAATTTCCCGGATCTCCTCTGGAACCCTTTTTAAAGATGGGAGTGACATTAGCTACCTTCCAATCCTCAGGAATGGAGGCAGATTTTAAGGAAAGATTACATATCTTTGTCAGGAGATCTACAAGTTCACATTTGAGTTCTTTCAGAACTCTCGGATGTATGCCATCTGGGCCTGGTGATTTTTCAGTTTTTAAGTTGTCTATCAGTTTTAGGACCTCCTCTCTCGTCACCTCAATCTGACTCAGGTCTTTCAACACCCCTCCTGAAATCAGTGGTTCTGGAGTGGGCAAGCACTTCTCATCTTCCACAGTGAAGACGGAGGCAAAAAATGCATTTAGCTTCTCAGCCATTTCCCTATCATCCTTCAATACTCCTTTTACCCCTTGGTCGTCCAAGGGCCCCACTGCCTCCCTGGCTGGTTTCCTGTTTCTAATGTATTTGAAGAAAGTTTTATTGTTGGTTTTTACGTTTTTTGCTATATGCTCCTCATATTCCCTTTTTGCCTGCCTGACCTCAGACTTGCATTTTATTTGCCATAGCCTGTGTTCCGTTTTATCAGCCTCACTGTGACTAGCTTTCCACTGCTTAAAGGAATTCTTTTTACTTTTTACAGCCTCCATTACTCTGTTTGTTAACCATGCAGGCTTTTTCCTATACCTGTTTGTGCCTTTCCTAACCTGCGGAATATATATTTTTTGAGCTTCTAGGATCGTAGTTTTAAATAGATCCCAAGCTTCCCCAATTGTTTTGACCCTTTCTACTTTTCCTTTCAGTTTCCTCCCCACGTGTCCCCTCATATCAGAGAAATTACCCCTTTTAAAGTTAAAAATGGTTGTGTGAGTCTTTTTGGCCAATTCTCTATTTGTACAAATGATGAACTCAACAACATTATGATCACTGTTTCCAAGCGGTGCAATCACTTTTACATCTCTCACCAGGTCTTGAGTGTTACTTAGGACCAAATCAAGGATCGCCTCTCCCCTGGTAGGTTCCGTGACCATCTGCTCCATAGCACAGTCATTTAGAGTGTCTAGAAACTCAATCTCTTTTTCCCGGCTAGAACACATATTGACCCAATCAATGTGTGGGTAGTTAAAATCACCTATTATTACACAGTGTTTTTGTCTAGTTGCTATCTTTAAGGCATTCATCATTTTATAATCCTCCTCTATCTTTTGATCTGGTGGGCGATAACAAACTCCCAGTGTTAAGTTTCCTTTTGGCCCCCCTATTTCAACCCATAGAACTTCCAGAAGCGAATCCAATTCACTTAGCCTCTCAATCTTTCTAGACTTTATACCCTCTCTGACATACAGAGCTACCCCACCTCCAACCCTTCCCCCCCTATCCTTCCGATATAATATATAACCGGGAATCACTGTGTCCCACTGATTTTCCTCATCCCACCAAGTTTCAGAAATACCCACAATGTCTATTTTTCCCTCCGACACCAAGCACTCCAACTCCCCGATATTGTGAAACGAATTGTTCATTGCGCAGTATCCGTTTGCGTGTGAGCAGAACATTTTCTACCGAAATTGCTACAGTAAACATTTTTGCAACTTATCTTTATTGACTCCTTGTTATTTTGTCACGGATGTTGTTTTTTGGAATCCCCCAACCAAAAGCCTGGCGGAAGAGCTCCGTATTGCAGGCCCTGCGGAACTGAGTAAGATCCCGCAGGGCCCCGATCTTGATGGGGAGCGTGTGCCCCCAGGTAGGAGCAAGGGGCAGAGAAGGCCCCGGCCCTGGTTGAGGCTCGACGGTCGTCTTTTGGGCCAGGGGCCACCAAGAGATGCTGATTCCTAGAGTGTAAAGCACTTCGAGGTGTATACGGGAAGAGGCGGTCCCTTAGATATGTTGATCCCAGGCCGTATAAGGCTTTGAAGGTTATTACCAACACCTTGAAGCGGACCCGGTACTCAACTGGTAACCGGTGCAGCTGGCAGAGCACATGCCGAACTACAGTCACTGAGGGGCTCCTTC